CTTTCCTTTCCTTTCCTTTCCTTTCCTTTCCTTTCCTTTCCTTTCCTTTCCTTTCCTTTCCTTTCCTTTCCTTTCCTTTCCTTTCCTTTCCTTTCCTTCCACTGAAGATTAGTTTACACACAGATCAGATGCTTGGGTTTGGGTCCACAAGCATGCCTTAAACACACATTATTGTCACAGGATAAACTCTGTGGAATAGAATATGGAACCACTGAATCACAGAATCATAAAATCATAAAGGTTAGAAAAGACCTTTAAGATCATCAAGTCCAATTGTCAACCGTCAACCCAGCACCACTATGTTCACCTTTAAACCACATCTTTAAATGCCAATTTCACATATTTTCTGAATAGTTCCAGGTATGGTGACTCCACTACTTCCATGGACAGTGTGTTACAATACTTCATGACCCTTTGTGTGAAGAAACTTTTCCTAAAATCCAATTTAAACATCACCTAGTGCAACTTGAGGCCATTTCATCTTGTCCTATCAATTGTTATCTGGGGGAAGAGACTACCCCCCACCTGGCTACAACCACCTTTCAGATACTTCTAGACCATGATGAGATTTTCCCTGAGCTTCCTCTTCTCCAGGAATAATATCCCCAGATTTCTTAGCCTCTCTTCCTAAGACACTTCCTCTGGCCCCTTCACTAGCTTTATGAAATGAAGGCTGACCTCCCAGTTCCTCAGCCCAAATCCTAATTTCCCAGAAAAAGACTTTGAGTCTGCATCAACTACAGGTTTTGGAGCATATAAAATATATATTATCTACAGTGTATTCAAACAGCTGATCTGGTAGTTTGGTGAGGGAATGAAGCCCCAGAAAAATTTTCAGAAAGTGAATATGGATGGCTAGAGAGAGTTGAACATTTGAAACAGGGTTCATCAGGAAGATTAGAGTAATCAAGAGCTCGCAAAGTAAATGAAAAGATTAGTTGAACTTGAAGTCAAGGAAGTTATTACACATCTAAGGCATAGATATTACAGTCCAAGTACTCACTTGAACCCCCTTGTCTAGTCCTTTGAAGATTAAACTTCAGCTCTAGAGGACCTGGTCACCCTTAACACTGCCTAGGTACATCACCACTGGCAGATTGTTTTCTCATTGGAACTTGTGCTGGTTTGACCAGGAAGTAGGAATTCTGGGATGCTGTGGTCAAACCAATGGGTGCTCAGATTTTGATATTGGCACCTGATGTGGCCAGTGGGGTTTGGGCACACCTCTGAGAACACACAGGGATTAAAAAGCAGAGTTTAGACCCTGGGAGTTTCTCTTTGGTCTTCTGTCAGGGAAGGCTTTGGATCTCCCCCCTGTCCCAGCTGCTGGCTGGCCGGGGGGAGGGGAAAAGCCACACGGCCATGAGGTAGGCCCAGCCCAAGGATGGAAGGGTGGAAGAGACCAAGAGACATCAGGCAGTGCCCCCCCCCCCCTTCCCCAGGGCCCCCAGGGAAAAGAGATAGAGTGAGATAGAGAGAGAGATAGAGAGAGAGAGAGAGAGAGAGAGAGAGCGAGAGCCGGCCAGAGCAGCATGGAAGTTCCGGAGCTCTGGGAAAGGCAGAGACTGAAATTTCCTTTTCTTGCATGATCGAGATCCTGCAAAATGCTGATCCTCCTGGAGCTGAATGAGAAGAGAGATAAGAGGGAATAGGCCATGAGGGAAGTGCAGAAGACTCTTGAGTGGGGGAGAGATGATTGGAGTGGCCTTTTGGCTGGACTTCTCTTGTGTGGCCATAGACTGAACCAGTTTTATTCTTGTGACACAGAGACTGCATTTAGGGGGAGGCAGTGCCTCAGAGCCAGGAGGGTTCATTGTGGGTACCCCTCAGCCCCAGGGGGTGAAAAATTGGGGGGTACAGATGTCCCAAAGGAGAGACTGTGCCTTTTTGGAGTGAGACAAGGCATCCTTAAAAGACAACCCTAGAAGTAGCTCTGGTCCATGCACAGTGGTTAGAGCACTGGGCATGGAAGGAAGATGTCACAATGGCAAAGGACTTTCCGGGCGGTGCTGAGTGACATGGAGGCACATGAGGTTTCAACGTGTTTCCAGGAGAAGCCTGTGGTACAAGAAGGACTCCTCTCGTCTTCATGAACTGCGGATTGAGTATTCTAAAGGGCGGTGCCGGACTAAGAGTTGGTGATTTGGGGGAATGTATTGCATTGGGAAATTTGGTGGGGGGAGGAGGAAGGTGCTTTTGTAAGGTTTTCATTTTTTTTTTCACTTTTAATTTTTTTTCCCTCTTCTTTTCTTGTAGTTTAGTTAATAAAGTTTTCTTTATTTCTAAGCTGGAGCCTGCTTTGCTTGTTCCTGGTCACATCTCACAGCAGACACCAGGGAGAGAGTATTCTCATGGAGGCACTGGCTCTGTGCCAGGCCTAAACCATGACAGAACTAGTTCATATTTCCTGTGCTATTTGAAAAGTGCTGCATAAAAAAGATTGTGTGGAAACAAAAATCTTTGAGGAATAGAATAGTAGAAACTTAGTTTCTGCTATATAAAATAGTAGAAAGCATGTAACTGCTTCAGAAAGGAGGAAAAAGCTGAGCAAGGATTTTAAGGTGACAAAGTTCACCATCAAGATTATATAAGTGAATTAACTAATTTTTCATAGAAGTCCATCTATTCCGGAATACTTAAAGTTTATTTCTGCCTATAACATAGCAAATCATATGACAACAGGATCTCAAACCTTGGTATGTTACAGGAATATTCTTCTCTGCCTGAATTTACTGACTCCAGTGAATGATTTTGCATTAAGAGTATAAAGTGAGCTAAAATTATTAGCTGAGTTTTAAGAACCAAAATTCAAAAGGAGCCAAACAATCTCCCCCATTTCCTTGAGGTAATTTATTCATTTCCAGATGACCAGATTCTGGACAGAAAAATGTCTTATATAATCCCATTTTTTCTACTTGATCATATATGCAGATATACATTGCCAGTATTGATTTTGCTGCTCTGGGTTACTCTGTGTCATCATAACTCATGCAGTGTCTAACATTATTCAAACAAATGCATCCCACTTTTGGCTATAGACTAAGATTGACTTGAGAAACTCAAGAAACTTTTATCTTTTATGGAATATGAACTGACTGCTTTGACTTTCCTCAAGACACAAGTGACCATCAAAATGTAAGACATTATGAACTCTTGTTTTTCTTTGTCTCTTTGTATAATCTGTTCTGTTTTATCTGAGATACTCAACAGAGACAAGGAGAGTTTCCACTCGAATTTTCTGCTTCTTCTGGTGTTCATTCTTTTGCTTTCCACTAACCAAAGAATTAATTTAATTGTTTGTTTACTTCTTTATTGGAATAAGCAAAGCAGCGGAGTCTGTGTTAAAACAGAGGTGGCAAGAGGGTTTTTTTTACTATTTTGTTTATTACCCACTACTCAAATGACTTTTAATTGGCATTAAATTAAATTACTTTCTGACAAGTTGAATCTGTTTTGCACACAGAAGTAACTATTAAGAAATCCACCTGTCTTTTTGTCAATCCATGAGCTTTTCCATCTGCTTTTCTTCCTCTATCCTGTTGGTGGGGTAGAGGTGAAAGGGAGGGCTGAGCAGCTGAGTGTGCATTTGACAACACATCATGGCAACCCTCCATGATTCCCTAACAGTGTGGAGAAAGGGGATGTTTGAGAGCTCCTAGTAACAATGAACGAAGTTGCAGTTCACTTTGTTAAGTGGATGTTCCTTTTTTTAAGATGACTGTTGCAGTAGAGTTAGGAAAATGTATGTTTTCTAGTCACTGAGAATTCCTGCAGAGAACTGAATCAGGTATTTTTTCCCTTTTCCAAGTTCATTAACTTCTAGTTTTCTTGGACGTGGAAATACTTCCTAATAATTGGCTTCCAACAGGACTGTCTAGCCTTGCTGAACACTAATGATAAGGAATCTTTGTTGGCTCATCCTAAGCACGAATTTAGAATGTCTGTTGCTATGGATGAATTTTAACATTGAGGAGAATTGATCATATTAAATTTTCCTGCTTCATGGGTGAACCATTTCATAGCCAGGCAGTAACTCTTGAGAAAGAAGTGGTTCATAACCAGTAGGATGAAGCTCTTGTTTATTTTACTGTATATGTATTCTCCTGCAATGGCAAAGTATCAGAAATAGTTGCAAATGGTGTAGACTGATATAGATTATAAAGAATGTGTTTTTGCAGTGTTTGCATAGGATCACACACACATACACAGACACATTAATATACATCCAGTAGCACTTAGGCTAAAACCAGGCACTCCCAAGAGATCAAGTAAATTAATTTTATGTTACTAAATCCAATTATCAGAAATGAGAGCACCATGGAAAATAATAAGTAATATTAATTATTCTTTTTCTGGTTTTAGGGGGTGCGCATTGTTGGTTGTTTTATAAGGTATAGAATTGTAGCATTGTGTGATTTTGGAGGGTGCTGATTTTACTGGTGACTTTGGTATGGATAAAAGGAAAAGAATTGAGTGCAATCCAACATATAAATCACAGGAACAGGCTCACATTATAGTGTGTTGCCTTAAAAGTGAGCTGCTTTTTGTGGTCAAGACAACTGTGTTGCCTCTCACTTACTGTTTGCTGATTCTGCATTTCTACCTTGATTCAGCCAGAGCCTTGAGTATTGGAGCCTCATGGTTAAAGGCAACACAAATACAAATAATTAGTAGACAGAAATTAAGTACATTTTAACAACTAAAAAAAAACCAAAAAAAACCTAGGAAATCACACAACAATGGTTGCTGTTTTGCACTCTGGTCTGAATATACCCTGAAACAGGCAGCCTGAATAAAGGTCTTGCATATATCCAAAGTTAATTTTATTCATATTACCTAGTATGAGTTTGGATTTGTGCTGAAAACAGTGCTCCAAACACAGGGATGTTTTCATTACTGCTGAGTAGTATCTACAGGGAGTGAAGGCCTTTCCTACTCCTCATGCCACCCCATCAGTGAGAAGGCTGGGGGGACACAGAGCTGGGAGGAGACACAGCCGGGACAGGACCTTGACTGACCCTGAGTGATACCCCACATCATATGACATCATGCCCAGCATAAAAACTGATGAAAGGAGAAGGAAAAGGGGTTCACCATTGTGCAAACTAGAGCCCTGCTTTCATGGGAATATTTGAACACCTGCCTGCCCATGGGAAGTGATGGATTAATCTTATCTTGCTTTGCTGGTATGCTTAGCTTTTGCTTTACCTGTTAAACTGCCTTTATTTAAATCCATGAATGTGGTGGTGTTCACAGGGGTCCCAGGAATAGCGAAGAGACGAGGATCTGACTCCATGTTTCAGAAGGTTTGATTTATTATTTTATGATAGATGTTATATTAAAACTATACTAAAAGAATAGAAGAAAGGATTTCATCAGAAGGCTAGCAAGGAAAGGAAGGAATGGAATGATAATAAAATCTTGTGACTGACTGAGACAGTCTGAGACAACGGGACTGTGATTGGCCATTAATTAGAAACAACCACATGGGACCAATCACAGATCCACCTGTTGCATTCCACAGCAGCAGATAACCATTGTTTACATTTTGTTCCTGAGGCCTCTCAGCTTCTCAGGAGAAAAAATCCTAAGGAAAGGATTTTTCATAGAACATGTCTGTGACACATGAATTTTCTCACTTTTATCCTCCTCTTTCCCTTGGGAAGATGTGAACAAGTGGCTGTGTGGGGCTGAGTTGCCAACAGGGGCTAAACCACAGCATCACTGTGTCAGAATCTGGCAATTCCACTGAGCTGATCACTCTAGGCTGTCCTTGTTCTAATTTGAGAAGTAAATACATGAATTTTAGGAAGAATTCAACAGTGCATTTACAAGGTCAATTTCTATCAAATGAATCTGAGGAGATCATAAATAAATTAAATATAGATATATAGACTCATAAAGGAGAAAAATCATTTGATGAAATGCATCAAAGTAGTGCAAGAGCAGTGTAGACTCCTTAATCACTAGGTTATAAAATTACCCTCTTTAAGATCAATACAAAGTAAAGACATTATTTCAAATCAAACATCTTTACAAGTGAGACTGACAATTCATTCCAGATCACTCAGAGGTGGTCAGGGCATTCCTGTAGCATGG